AGTTTCAAGTCCAGGACCATTGACCTTCAACAAGTAATATATTTCACACCTGGAGTAGTTTTTAATATTTAAGATAAGAAAGGTAATGTGACCAGACAGTTGACACCCTATTCATCTTGAGGACAGTCAAGGAGAAGTTAAGGTATTTGTACTAATGGCTTTCAACTCAGCCTACTTTTCTATGTTTATCTGGTCCATTGCTCTCATTTAACCCACTCCTCTAACATCCAAGTTGTGTCAGTCCATTGTTAACCATAGTTCAGTGGTTCACAGAGTGTAGCTTCTGAATTGGCAGCAGCAACTAGGAACTTGTTAAAAGTCCCAATTTTGGAACTTCACTCAAGATCAACTGAATCAGAAGTTCTGGGGTGAAATATGTGTTTTAACAACCCCTTTAGCTGACTATGATTCATTATGAAGTTTGACAACCACTGCTGTAGTAGGCTCCAGGATTGCAATTCAGGAACAAACTACTAAAAATTTTTGGTGATGCTAATACTAACACTGGGGAACCATTGGGATCTTTCTTTTGAGTATCTCCTCCTGCGTCCTATAGTCTAACTTTATAGAAATAGCCATGCCTTGCTAAGCTAGTGAGCATTTTAAAAGGGCTCTTTCTCAGACTCTTTGATTTTTGGTAATTATACTTTGTAAGCATACCTCAGCTTTGCTTTATGACTTTAGTTCATTACAGAGAACCCAAACTCTAAGTGTAAATTGTTAAATTGGAAAATATTTCCATTAATTTTGATAGAAAAATGTGTTTTGTAATTATCTGAGATATCAAAATAATTTGAGATTAAAATATGTATCAGTTGAACAATAAAAACAAGTTTATCTAAATAAATATTTTGAAAGTAAATAAAAATAGTCTATACCTAACCTCTAATGTAATGACAGTTTATTATACTTGCAAAAAGAGGAAGAGAAGACTTGATAGTGGTGGCTGGTGGAAGGGGAATACAAAGGAGTCATTCTTTGGAAGATGCTGGAGAGTCAGGTGGTAGTAGGTTTAAGGTTAGAAATTTGTGGTTATCTTGCACTTAAAAATAGGTATAGCACATCTGAGCCAGCCACAGGGATACAGATGAAACATAACCTCTCTTCTCTAGGAGCCTAGAGAAGGAGTGAGATGCTCCAACAACTTACTCTATACAAAAGCAAAAACTAAGTTCTTGTTGGAAGCACAAATAGCAAAAGAAGGAGTGACTATGGAAGCATATAGACCCCTCAGTCTTCAGACTAAAGCTGAGAAAAGAGGGGACTTCTGACTGGTGAGCATGGTAGCATGTCCTTCCATGTCATAGAAGAAACAGCAGGGAAGGAGCTCAGGACAGGTATGGTCAAGGGACTGGGAGTGATTTTGGAGCACTTGAGAAAAAAGGCGGGGGTGGGGTGGGGTGGGGAGGGAGTGTGTGTGACAGGGAGAGCAGTAGGAAAAGGAGCACTGGGCTCATTCCAAGATGTGTTCTGTGGGCATCAAGGGGCTATGGAAAGTATTTGAAGAGAGCAGAACATGAAGAGAGGAAGCATGAAATCAACTGAAAAAAAAAAGTCACAGCATAGAAAAATACTTTTTGGGCAGAATAAAGGTGAAATACAAGAGCATCTTTGAAAGACGAAAGGAGTACATGCACTCAACAGATGGAAAAGGTGTAAAGACTGCTCCTTCTTCAGTTCTCTAGCTTGGTGTACAAATGCAGAACAACATTTTTCTTCTTCTTTTCTTTTTTTAAATATTTATTTATTTTGAGAAGAGAGACAGAGCATGAGCAGGGAAGGGCAGAGAGAGAGGGAGACACAGAATCTGAAGCAGGCCCCAACGTGGGGCTCGAACTCATGACCTGAGCCAAAGTTGGATGCTTAACCAACTGAGCCATCCAGGCATCCCCCAAAGCAAAATTTTTCTGATTCATCAAAATGTATGTGATTTATTAATTTGGTCTTTATAATATTCTCTGAATGTAAATTATTATATTGAGTACACAATAGGTATGTCTATTAATTATCACTTTTGTTGTATGTGATACATACAATTTTGGGTATGTCTTTGATTTTATTTTTTGAGTTGTAGGACAAAAAAAAGGCAGAGAGGAAAGTGTTATTATCCAAAAAGTGGTTTAATTTTCAAGATATATTATGATTACAATAAAAAGCTACTTAACAGTCAGTACGTGAGGCACGTCTATAATGAGAAATGGAATATTTAAGAACAAGTCTGACCGAAAACTGCTTTAAAATTAGAACTCTTGTCTTTGGTTGCCACTTGATCTCCAGGAAACCTGTAGATGAAGTAGTTTTGTTTGTTTGTTTTTTAGTGTTTGTTTATTTTTGAAAGAGAGAGCATGAGCAGGAGAGGGGTAAGGAGAGAAGGTGACAGAGGATTCAAAGTAGGCTCTGCTGACTGCAGAGAGCCTGACGCAGAGCTCAGACTCACAAACCGTGAGATCATGAGCTGAGCTGATGTCAGATGCTTAACTGACTGAGCCACCCAGGTGCCCCAGAAGTAGTTTTTAAATATAAATTTTGAAGGCTTTCTAATTTCTTTCATGTAGCCTTTTTATATCCCAGTGTTTTAGTCCCTTTGGTCTATAGCCTTGTCTATTCCTAAAATTTGTATTCATACTCTGTTCTTTTTCTTGCTTGAGTCTGAAGGTAGAGCAAGAAAGGAGCCATATTGTCTATAGATTTTAGGGGGTTTTATTGTTGCTGTTGTTATTTTTGCTTTAGAAAGTTAGGAGGTAGGGGCGCCTGGGTGGCTTAGTCGGTTAAGCGTCCGACTTTCGCTTAGGTCATGATCTCGCAGTTCGTGGGTTCGAGCCCCGCGTCGGGCTCTGTGCTGACTGCCAGCTCAGAGCCTGGAGCCTGTTTCAGTCTGTGACTCCCTCTCTCTCTGACCCTCCCCTGCTCACGCTGTCTCTCTCTCTCCTAGAAATAAATAAAAAAAATATATATATAAAAAAAAAAAAGAAAGTTAGGAGGTAAGAGTGAATATTTTACTAGATACGTAGAACTCCAAATTCACACATAATTTATAATACCTTATTTATTATGTGTTTTTTTCTTAAGCAGAAATGTAGATGAGTTCTCTCTTGGGTAAAGTTACGTGGGTGCAAAGGTTATCTGACTCCATCCCCAGAAATTTGCCACATAGGAAGCAGTATGTAGAATATGGTTTGGTTTGGTTTTGTTGTTTGCTTTGTTTTTGTGTCTCGGATATGAAAGATCAGAAATCAGAGAAAAATTACCTGTTTTTTTGTATTTTTATAATGAGCACATTATACTTATCCCCACTGCCCAAACTTTGGTTCATTTAAAAAAATGCTTTGGGGCTCCTGGGTGTCTCAGTCTGTTGGTTAAGCGTCTGACTCTTGGTTTCAGCTCAGGGCATGATCTCACGGTTAGTGAAATTGAGCCCCACATCAGACTCTGCGCTGACAGCACAGAGACTGCTTGGGATTCTCTCTCTCCTGCTCTCTCTGCTGCTCCCCTGCTTGCTCACTCTCTCAAAATAAATAAACTTAAAAATTTTTTTCTAAGTGCTTTAATGATGATAGTAAGACATTAAATGAAAGTCCCTTCTAGTCATCAGGGATGGCAGGGTTAGAGTTGACATTGTTATCAAATTTTTTTCAGCTTATCAAGTTAATTTCCTTCCTACCTTCACCTAGAGAAAATAGTACAGTTGACCCTTGAACAATGTGGGGGATTAGAGGCACCAGCCCTCTGCACAATTAAAAACCTTATGTGTATATGGGGCACCTGGGTGGCTAAGTCAGTTAAGCGTCCGATTTCAGCCATGATCTCATGGCTTGTGGGTGTGAGCTCTGTGTCAGACTCTGTGCTGACAGCTCAGAACCTAGAGCCTGCTTCATATTCCGTGTCTCCCTCTCTCTCTGCTCCTCCCCTGCTCACTCTCTGTGTCTCAAAAATAAATAAATGTTAAAAAATTTATTTAAAAAAAGGAAAAAAAATTATTTAACTCTTGTATAATTAGTGAATCCCCAGAAATTTAACTTACTAATAGCTTACTATTGACCAGAAGCCTTACAAATAACTTGAGAGTCAATTAACACAATTTTGTATGTTGTATGTTATTGGATTTGTACTTTTACAATAAAGTAAACTAGAGAAAAGTGTTAAAATCATAAAGAAGAGAAAATACATTTATAATACTACACTGTATTTACTGAAAAAAAATCCATCTATAAGTGGACCTGTGCAGTTCAAACCTATGGTGTTCAGGGCTCAGCTGTACATTTAAAGTTGACATTTCCATAGCTGTACAACCAGGATGTACCTGAGAAGGTACACACAGCTTGGGTTTCCTGCCAAGATCATAATGCTTGACCCATGGATAGCCTCTTTTTAAAGAGTTAAAGTCTGATGGTAGGTTAATACAAACTTGGTAAAATCTCACGTCAGTCCGAGTTGGTGCTGTTGTTTTTATAAAATGAAACAGGTACAGAAATGGTCAGCAATAAAATAGTTATACCTACTTGGTCCATATATAAGACATGACCTTGAGAGACCCAGACCTGCAGTTTATGGAGAAGAAAGCTAGATTGAATTTTGAAGAATGAACATTGGTTCTTAAATTTAGCAAAGACAGGAATAATTAACTTTCAAAAAATGCAAGATAGATAGTGTATACTTTGGGCCCATCAGCTATGATTCAGACTAATTGCCCTCTATCCTGGTATTTTATGTAGTCTGATGTTAAAAATCTGTCGAGAACAAAGCTATGTAAGAACTGATGGATTCACTCTGGCCCTATACAACTAATTCAGTCTCTCTAGCCTTTAACTTCCCTATCTGCAAAGTAAAGGAAGTGCAGCAAATATAAGGTCTCTTTCACTCCAACATTTTGTGACTTAAAAAAAGTAAAAATCTTTTCTAGCCAGAACCTGACTGTTATTACATACGTTGGTAGAGAAGTATTCTGTTTTAAATCATTTAAGCCAAATAATGACTTTTACATACTCATTCTTGTTTTTCAGAAACTCTGTGAAGGCATATTTAAAGTCCTTGTAAAGGACATCCCAACAACATGTCAAGTGTCCTGCCTGGAAGTTCTCCGCATTCTCTCCAGAGACAAAAAGGTTTTAGTTCCTGTAACAACCAAGGAAAATATGCAGATACTGCTGCGACTAGCCAAGCTAAATGAGTCGGATGATTCTTTGGAGAAGGTGTCCGAGTTCCCAGTTATTGTGGAGTCGTTAAAATGTCTGTGTAACATAGTGTTCAACAGTCAGATGGCACAGCAGCTCAGCCTGGAACTTAACCTTGCTGCAAAGCTCTGTAACCTCCTGAGAAAGTGCAAGGACCGAAAGTTTATCAGTGACATTAAATGCTTCGACTTGCGCTTGCTCTTCCTCCTGTCACTTTTGCACACCGACATCAGGTCACAATTGCGCTATGAGCTCCAGGGACTAGCGCTGCTAACCCAGATCTTGGAAAGTGCCTTTAGCATCAAGTGGACCGATGAGTATGAATCGGCCATAGACCGTAACGGACCTCCTCTCTCACCTCAGGAGACAGACTGTGCCATCGAGGCCCTCAAAGCTCTCTTCAATGTGACAGTAGACAGTTGGAAGGCACATAAAGAGGTAAGGTTGAGAAGAATATTCTTTTCTGCCTGTTATTTAATTGGCCAGGGGCATCACTAGAGCTGCCTGCTAGGTTCTACTTTCCATTTGTGTAACTTGCTGGAAAAATAGGATGAAGATGGACTATTATTTTTTTATAGACTTAAAAAAAAATTAATTCCAATATAGTTAATATGGATTATTATTTTGTAAGATGCCAAATATAGTTCCTATTCTGAGCTATACTATCACATGTCTTTTTTTTTTTAAGTGCCTCTTTGAGGAATAAGATTTAAGTGATAAAGAGTTGAAGGGAAATAAAACAATGTGGTTTTACAGTTTATAGGCATTTAAAATGACTGCCATCTTCAAGAAAAGATAAGATAAATCAGGCCAGTTGAAACTGACCAATCAGAATTGATGTCTGCTTAGTAGAGTAAAAGATGCCCTACCACCTATCATCCTAGTCTCCTAGAGTGTTATAGTGTTAGATAACTATCAGAAATATAGGACTACAACTAGATATCCAGGCCTGTACACAGTCCTAGAAAACAAATATAATTACACTAATGTGTGAGAAAGGTTTTTTCTAGACTAAGATCCTTCTCTGTGGCTTGGACCTTACAGCAGCCCCAAAGTGAGCCAGATTTGATAGTTTACATCTAAGTGCCCACCAGAACAATATGCTAAACAAGGTTAGTTTAAGGAAGGCAACAATTTTAAGTGAAGTAGACAAACTTTTTTCCTTGCTGCTAGAATCTTAACATTTCACATTTACCCTCTCTCTTTAACCTTAAATAACAAGTGAAATTGAGCCCCTTCCTTAAAAAGAAAGAAAGAAAGAAATGCAGTATTTTGGTGCCAGAGCACATTATCTTTTCTGACAATTGACTTCAGAACCTAGGGCATTTTGCTGTGTCCATTTGAAACAGTTCTCACCATGAATAAAGATCTCTTTTTGCTAGAATCCTACTTTGAGAAGATTATCTCAGTGTAGTGCTAGAGCCGGAGTATGCAGGCATCTGAGTTTTAAAGTGCAAATGGGTCTATATTTTGAAACCAAATATTTGAAGATCAGCCTTAACAGCTGTTTTAGATGACTGTAGTACGGTCAGTTTTTCCTGAGACTTGGCAGGAGAAGATGTGGAAGGCCCACATGCTCCATTTATGCTTTGAAACCAAATATTTGGAAGTATTTAAAATATTGTGTCTCTATGCTTATTTGGTACCTTCTATGGTTATTTTTCTTACACTGTTTTGGTGTTTTTAAGTTCTCCATTTAGTTGCAAGAGTTCTTCTGAGACTATTGGTTTGCCATTGTTGGGAGCCTCTGTTATTTAAATTGTACCCAAAATAGTAGTTCACATTGTTCAGATTCCTGACAAAAGTGTGTATAAGTCGATGGCTGCACATCAGTATATGTCTGGAATGACATGTAATATATATCAGTAAATTGAGGTGAGCCCTCATTAGTGTGCTTCAGTTAGAAGTCATAGTGGGGCTGGAAGAAGCCTTAGAAGATGTTGAAGCAGCAAATACTCATGCTGTGGTATAGAAAGTTTATTCTCCAAAAGATACATGAAAAAGGATCAGTACCCCTGAGGCAGGCTTCTCAGTAGATGTAGGGCTTCTTGTGTGTTGTGGTTCAGTAGATAAAGCCATTATAAAATGTGCCCAGTTACTGTTACTCTGGGCTGTTACTGAAGTTATCAGAAATTTAAACAGTAGTGAAAGTAGGGTCTTGCCAACCCATTTAGGCAGGAGTGCGGGAAAGGTTATTTTTAAACCAGTTGAATCTCTGTGAGTCTCCAAATTCAAATTTTAGCAAACATTTAGTCAATCATTCCGTCAGTCAATAAATATTTATGGCCAATTACAAGGTATTATGCTGGCATTGTGTAATATGTTGCTAAATAATAGATATAGTCTCTGCCTTCAGTTTTGTTCGTGAGACAGGTAATAAATAAGTAAACAAATATATATAGGAGAGAAACAGCGCACTTATGATTGAGAATCCTTAGCACAGTCAGAGAAGACCATGAAGGTATCTCCTGAGATAGGAAGACTGAGAATGATAGAGCTGTTTGAATATAGGAGGTATGGGTGTTTCCCCAAAATGAGAGCATAGAGTACCTTTTAGGGAGGTACCTACAACTTAGCATAAAGAAAATCTATAATAAGGTTGCAGAGAAACTTGCCATTAAGAGCCCATTTACTTAGATTTTTTTAAAGTCTATTTATTTATTTTGAGAGAGAGCATATAGGGGAGGGGCAGAGAGAGGGAGAGAGAATTCCAAGACGCTGCTCTGTTAGCACAGAGCCCAACACGAGGCTTGATCTCATGAACTCTGAGATCATGACCTGAGCCAAGATCAAGAGTTGTACACTTAACCAACTGAGCAACCCAGGTGCCCCCATCTACTTGGATTTTAATAATTTCTTGATTATCAGATGAATGGCATCTTTCTCCAATTGAGCAAGCACCTAAAGAATTGTTAGTATGTTAAATACCAACTGAAATAAAGGGATATTGAACACTTACTGTACGGAAGAATCCAATTTTAAAATATAACGTTAAAAATAACTAATATTATTTTCCTTATAATCAAAATGCATGCTCATTGTAGAAGATCTAAAGGGAAATTGCATGTGAGCAATAAGAAAGTACAAATCACCTATTAACCTACCAAAGATAATCACTGTTTGCGTTTTGATGTATATCTTTCTAACCATTCTTCATTGTAGAATATATAAATATAAACATGTATAATTTCTTTTTGCAAAAATGCAGTTATTTTAAATCTTGATCTTTTTTTCCTCAGTAAATGTTCTTGAAGAGTAGTAGTTTTCAGAATGTTTCTTGAAGCCATAAAGTTCCTAGGAGTAGCCTCTGGTGATGAGTGGACAGTTGTTCCAGGTTCCTCACCCTTGATTTCAAAAGAACATCTTTGACTGTCGCTGTTGTTTTTTCTGTTTAAATTTAGGTTGCAGGGCGTATGGGTGGCACAGTTGTTTGAGCACTCAGGTCATGATCTAAGGGTTATGGGATCGAGCCCTACACTCAGTATGGAGTCTGCTTGGGATTCTCTTTTTTTTCTATCTTTCTCCCTCTCTCTTTCCCTCCTCTCCCCCTCCCTCTGCCCCTCTTCCTCACTCGTGCTCTCTCTTTCTCTCTAAAGTAAGTAAAATGAAAAAATTATATATTAAAAACAATTTTTAAATAAATTTAGGTTATAACTAGATATCGTTTAGAAATAAAAAGAGTTTTGGGGCGCCTGGGTGGCTTAGTCGGCTAAGCGTCCGACTTTCGCTTAGGTCATGATCTCACGGTTCGTGGGTTCAAGCCCCGCGTCGGGCTCTGTGCTGACTGCCAGCTCAGAGCCTGGAGCCTGTTTCAGTCTGTGACTCCCTCTCTCTCTCTGACCCTCCCCTGCTCACGCTGTCTCTCTCTCTCTCTCTCTCTCTCTCTCTCTCTCTCGTAGAAATAAATTAAAAAACAAAAACAAAAAAAAAACATTAAAAAGAAAAAGAAATAAAAAGAGTTTTGCAACCAAAAAATAACGTACCATTTTATTTTCCTGCTTGTCAAAGGTTGATAAATCGTTACGAAGGAATACTCTTCATAAGTAATTTTATATTCAATAGGTATATTTATGTTTGAGTATTCATTCATAAGGATTTATTAACCTTTGACAAATTCCCTCTGTATAGGCATTTAGATTGTTTGCAGTTGTGTACTATTTTAAATAGTAACACTGAATTTTCTTATTGTAAAATTTTGTAGATAAATTCCTGAAATTGTTGGGGCAAAAGGTTGTTTTTTTTTTAAACTCTAAGGGTTGTTGATATGTTTTGTCAAATTGACCTTCAGAAGACTAGTGCTAGTTTATACCTTTCCAAACCCTGGGCATTTCACCTTTAAAGATCTTTGTCTGTTACCACAGCTCAACTGTTAGAGAAAATACAGATGTTTCATTTTGGTTTTAACTGTTTTAGTAGGTATTTCTATCACTGTTCATTCACGATTCATTAAAAACAGAAAATTAATGACTAGGTTTTTCTTGAGGCTTAGCAGATTAGTGCCATTTGTTCATTTTAGGCTCATTTGTTGAATTCCTGCCTGCCTGCTGATACCATCAGCAGATTAATTTGGAGATTCCTTTCTATCCAGTAGCTGGCCTTATTCCACACGGTGTCCATCTGTCTCCCTCACTTCCTTCCTCCTTCCCTCCCTTTCTCATTCTCTCCCTTTCCTAAAGATAGTATGTTTAAGAGGTCAGAAGACTCCTTTAGTAGGACCTGAAGTCGTCAGTTCTAGAAAAGTTAATGAAATGGTCTTGTCTTCCTCCTGCTTGAACACTTTTGCTAAATCTCTTTGTTGATGGAGGAAAGCATGTTATTCTAGAGATCTCTTACTTAGCACACATTCCCTTCTGCAGCGCTTTCCAGGTTATCAGTGCAATGTAATGAGAAAACATAAGGACCAACTTATGGTCCTAAGGACATGTTAGAGACAGACAACCAGGTGCAAGCGGGGAAGTAGTACAAGTATCTGTGTAGTCAAAGGAGGTATTAGAGTATTAGAGGTAAAACAGTGAATGTCCATAGAAGTTAATTGGGAATGTCACACTGTAACAGAAGAGGTTAGTTCCATGATTATTTTAAAGACTTTAGTGGAGATGTGGGAAAAGGACATGATATTAATTTAAAAAGCTTCAAGCTGTGTCATGTTGTTTTTTTTTTTCTGAATCATTTTTTCAGCAAACATTGAGTGCCCAATATGTGCCAAATTCTATGTTGGGTATACAAGATGCAAGATGAAGTAATTATCACTGCCCTCAAAGAACTAAAAGTCTAATAGGTAAATCAGACACATAAACACAGATGGATCTATGACTGTTTGTACTTACTGTTCTTCTCTATGTTTTCTATATGTTTAAAAATAGGAAAGAATCATCTCAGTAATGCAGAGATGCTTCAAATGCCATATTTTCTAGATCTTTGGGGTTATGTCTGACGTC